TTCATATCCATGATGGCTTTAACTTGCTTTGTACTTGCTTCAATTCCTCAGTTACTGACTAGAAACCCGAGTAGTTGTCCTGAAGGTACCCAAAAACACACTTTGTGGGGTTTAGCTTCCACTGCCATGCTTTTAGATTCTTGAAAGTCTCCTCGAGGTCTTCTATCAATGATCCGGGTTCTTTTGTCTTGATTACTACATCATCAATGTATGCTTCTGCATTTCTTCCGACTTGACTCCCCAAGCAAGTTTGAATTGCTCTTTGATATGTTGCCCCTGCATTTTTTAGTCCAAAAGGCATTGATTTATAGCAATATGCCCCAAAGGGTGTAATGAACGATGTCTTGCTTTGGTCTTCTTCTCTTAAGGATATTTGATGATAGCCTGAATAGCAATCTAGAAAGGATAACAGAGCTGATCCTGCTGTCGAGTCGATGATTTGATCAATTCTTGGTGGGACATATGGATCTTTTGAGCAATGTTTGTTGAGGTCTGTGTAGTCGATGCACATCCGTCATTCTTTAGAATTCTTCTTCTCTACTAGGACCGGGTTGGCAAGCCAATCTGAGTTGATTATTTCTCTGATGAATCCTGCTGCCATGAACTTGGTGATCTCTTTTTTTATTGTTGCTTTTCTGTCTGGAGCGAATCTTCGTAACTTCTGCTTAACGGGTTTGGACCCTTTGTTCACATCAATTATGTGCTCAGCCAACTCCCTTGGGACCCCTGGCATGGTTGCTGGCTTCTAAGCGAAAATATCTTTGTTGTCCCGAAGAAAGTTGGTGAGAGCAAGTTCCTATTTGGGTTCAAGATTTGCACTGATGATTGCTGTCTTCTCCGGATCACCAGTCAGTAGGTCAATAGTCTTGGCAGCGGCTTCTTTTGGTGGTGTGAAGTTGCTTGGCTTCTTAGCCGGTATTTTAATCTCATCTGGGTTCATTTCGTTGGCCAGTATTGCAATCTCCTTTCCTTCCTTTATATCTTGTAATCTTTCGGATATTTGTACTGCTTGTACGTCGCAATCATGTGCTTTCTTTAGATCTCCTTTCAAGGATAATACGCCATTTGTTGTTGGCATCTTGAGTAGTCGGTATGGATAATGTGGTACTGCCATGTATTTTGTTAAAGCTGGTCTCCCAAGTATTGCATGGTAGCATGATTCGAAGTCTGCAACTTCGAACTTGATGAATTCCGTTCGGTATTTGTCTGGTGTGCCAAAGGTGACAGGTAGGGTTATCTGTCCGAGGGGCATAGCTGCTCTACCAGGTACTATTCCGTAGAATTGTGTGCTTGTGGGTGTCATTAGACCTTCACAATCTAGATTCATCCTTTTGAGAGTATCTGCGAAGATTATGTTAAGCCCGGCTCCTCCATCGATGAGTACTTTAGTTACTACTACTCCCACGATAGTCGGACCCAGTACCAGTGGGTAGCACCCTACGTTTGTTGCACTGGTCCATTGGTCTTCTCTTGTGAAGTGGATGGGGTACTCTGACCAATCTAGATATCTTGGGATGGCTGGTTCAGCTGCCATGATGGCTCTGTGAGCTAGTTTCTCTTGTCTTTTGCTTCGTGTGTTAGGAACACCTGAAAATATTACCGCTAATTGGCGTTGGGGTTCTTGATAATCTCCTTCAGCTCTCTTTTCCTCCTTCTTGGATTCTTCTTGCTTTGGCTCCGAGTTGTTTTGATTCCTGTTTTCTCTCTTCATGAATTGCCGCTGAAAAGTGCTGCATTCAACTAACTTGTGTCTGGCCCCTGGGTGTATGTGACACGGCATGTTTTCTATGTTTTCCGGTGCTCTTCCTCGGTAGTTGTTACTCTGATAGTTGCTATTACTGTTGTAACCGCTGTTACGGTTGTTGCTATTATTGTAGTTGCCATTGTGATTGCTACCATTGATATCATTGCCGTTGCCATTGTATCTTCTTTTGTTGTCTGTGGTTGCCACCATATTGTCCTGTCTTGGTCTTTTGTCTTGCTGTCTGTAATCAGGTCTTCTATTCTATGGGTTGTCCCTAGCAAATCTGTGCCGAGTTCTTTCTTTTGACGAAATTAGCTTCTCAACAACCCTCTTGAAGTCTTCATTTGTTCTTGGGTTCTCATTGAAATAGTCCTTGTATTGCCAATTTGCCCAGATTCCTTCTGTAAAGGCCTCTATCACCTCCCTATCAGTAATGTCGCGGACTTGAGCCCTGAATTCTCCAAATCTTCTATAGTATTCCCTTAGACTTTCTCCTCTCCTTTGCTTTACTCCTTTCAATTCGGCTGCAGTCATTGGATGGGTAATAATGCCTGCAAAGTTGTTGCAGAAAGCTTTTTGCAAGTCTTCCCAATACCTGATTGACCTTGGCCTCAATTTGTCAAACCATTGTAGCGGCATTGCTTCGAGGGCCATTAGGAAGAATAGAGCCTTGATGTCGTCGTCTCCTCCAGCTAATTCAATAGATTGGGAGTAAACCCTTAGCCATTGTCTTGGTTCGACTTTGCCATCATACTTGGAATGATTTGCTGGTTTAAACTTATGTAGTAGCTTTAAAGTTTGTAGTCTTCCTGCGAAACAAGGGAATCTGTCGTATGGTTCTGTTCTTCCGTAATCTAGCGATCTTGCCCTTCTGTAATAAGACATGTCTTCTTTTAACTCAGACTCTCCGTAGTCATCTTCTTTGTCAAATCTTCTTGATACTTCTTGGTAGCGTTGGCTCAATTCTGGTTTGTCTCTTTCTTGTTGCTTTGAGTAGTGTTCCTTCCATCCATTGATATCAGCACTTTCTACTGGTCCTATCCTTTGAAAATTCATTTTTTTGGGCGGCTACTCCCTTTGTGGCTCCTGTGGAACTTCTTCGCCGGGTTGTTCTTCTGTTCCCCTGACTTCTTTCCTCTGGTCTTCCTTTGCTTTCCCGTTATTCGTGAGGGCGTACAACTCCTTTGTTAATTCTTCAATTCTTTCCCTTTTTGTATTTTTTGTGGCTTCTTTTTCCGCCTTCTTTCTGTTGTATTCCGTTAGCTCTGCTTTGTATTTATTCCAGACTTGCTTCCTTTGTTTAGCTCGGTTCCTCCTTCCAGCTTTTAATTTGTTCTTCTTTAGCCTTGCTAGTCTTTGCTCATCATTTTCGTTGCTGTCGCTTTTCTCATATGGCGAGATGTTACCTTCTGATTCGTCTGAAGATTTTATATCTGGTATCTGTGATGGTTCCAAAGGTTGTTCTAACTGCTCCGCCATGTATACAGTATACCTCTTCCGAGCTCTTCTTGTACGGTATTCCATCCTTCGTTTGGTTGAGCTGTCTGTAGCTTCTGAACTAGATCCGAGTTCTTTTCCCTCTTGATAAGGTAGTTCTTCAACGCGCATGCCAGTCTGGACTTTGCTTGAGGTGAAAGAACCTGGCCAATGCACCACACAATCTTGCGGGGTCACTGTCATGATCATCCCTTCTTGTGCTCTCTCTAGGAGTATTCTTCTTGCGGAGTTCATCTTGTTTTGGGTAAAGTGTTGATAGACTGATGCCGCGTTGCGCAGTCCGTAAGTTCCCAAGTTCTTCTTTGAGTTGTACGGGTCGTATCCCTTCGCAATCATTGTTGTGTCTCCGAGTCCAATTAGGCTTGGCTCTTGTGTCGTGAAGATTGTCTTGGAATCGGGTTGTATATCTTTTTCAGAGTCGGTTTCGTATCCGCTTTCTTCCTTATTCCGAGTTGTATCTGAAGTTGAGAGTTTCGTCATCTTCTCGGCGAGTTTGTATTCAACTTCGTCATCGAATTCTTTTTCTTCTCGAAGACGGGTACGAAGCTTGCCGTCGTCGTTAGCCTTGCAGATCCAGGATCCGAAGACAAAGGTTGTTCCCGCTGAAAAGGTCATCTTGAGGTTGAGGTCCGCCGAACTCTCGAGAAAAAATTCGTCGAAAGCCCCTACCTGGCGCGCCAGCTGTCGATGTTTTACCACCGATAGCCTGCCACGGGGGTACCCAGGACAGTTGTTCGGGCTTCGGCGAATAGCGGAATTCGGCGGTTATGCAAAGAGACTCACGATTTATACTGGTTCAGGCCCTCGACTTGGTCGAGTAATAACCTTACGTCCAGTTTTGGCGTTAGCCGGTTTGCGTTGTATTGCTTTGAGTATCGGGTATGCGTTCTCTCTTACAATGGGTACCCTCACCAACCCTTTATAGTCCAGGCGCTGAGAGGCGTTGTTTATGTCCTATTCGGATACAAGGTCAGAGTCCTAAGCTACGCTTCGGGCGCCTTTCCTCGTATAGTTTGCGTTGGAGTTTCAGTTTTGCACGTTGCTTTGCTCCGCGTTCTTCTTGGTGATTGGGCTGTAGGCCTTGTTACCAAGGTCTACCTCCCTGCAATATGGTCCATGGGGGGCCCGTAGGGTTCCCCATCGACAGTTACCACGACAAATTAAACACATCATCTGATCGATGTGTACCCAAGTTTGGCCTATGTATGGTGCCCAACCTCTCCGTCAGCCATGGGCTTCGGGCTATAGTTTGCTTCCTGTCATGGAACATGCTCGGGAGCAACTCCTAGAACTTTTCAAACAATGCACTCCATTCATTGGCAGTCAAATATGACAGCTTCACAAAACTTGAGCTAGGAGGCAACATCTCATTGGTGCTCCAACTTGCAGACTGATACTCGCTATGGTAGCCATTATAATAGTTAGTTTTAGCACTCACCCTATTCTTTGGAAAACCATTGCGGCACCTTCTATTTCCACTAAAGCAAAGCCCCATTGGACACACTGATAATTTTGAGGTAGACGGAGTACACTTAGGAACTAGACTGGTGCATGGGTTGGCATCATCTTGACTTGCCTCGTTTTGGCTTCCTCCTCATTGTCCTCGTTTCCCTCAGGTAATCTTGAAAGTGGGTTCCTAAAAGTTCCCCCAATAGACCTATATTTGTTAAAAAATGATGTTTCACATGTAATTGAATCATTAGCTGAGTCAATATCAAACTGGGTGAAGTTTGCATCACTATCATCATCATCTTCTTCTTCAAAGTTTGTTTCTTGTAAAAAGCAATTCTATCTCCTTAACCCAATTCCTTGCTTCCATACACATAACCTCAAGCACGCTTGGCTCCTCTTCTTTTTTGGTAAACTGTCTGCTCATCATGTCCCCTATCTCTGACAAGCAGTGGCCAGAAGTTGCAGCTTCCTTGAGAAATATTGTTGAGAGGACCAACACCCTAAGACTTGCCTCATGAATCGTGGGCAGCTCCATGCGAAGCATTTCAACGTCCTTTATAGGGTCCAAATCTTTGATATACTCTAGTTCTTCTTTAGAGAAAGGAATAGATCCTTGTGGCCAATGAATCCACTCAAAGTAAGGATCTTCCAGACTTTCTGGAAGACAGAGACCATGATCAATGGGAATAAGTTTTGTTTGAGCTTCAAAACGGCTAGATCCATTGTCAAGGTTCCTGACTAGAAGATTGCCACCATGCCTATCAGTGTTAAAGATTCTAATGTCGAGTATGCCAATCCTGTGAATGGAAGAGATAGGTAAGCTCGATGTTCCATGGTCACTAGCATCATAGTCATGTGGAATGAATTGTTGCAACAAGGCAATCTTGCTATGAGCCTGTGATCTATCCCTATTGGTCATGTTGTTACAATTATCTTCATTCACATGAAACACACTATGGTTAACTTTCACTAACATAGTAAGAGGGACTCCTGCAAAATTCTTGTGATCAAGGAGGTATGCAACAACCTCCCGAAATCCTATCTCACCAACCCGTATAGATCTTTTGAGGCCTGGCTGCCCAAGAGTCGTCCCCACAAAACCTTTAGGATTATTTGGAGCACAAGGTTCCTCATCGGTTGGTTTAATAATTGCAACATGTTGCCCCCAGATATCCCAAAAATAGTAGGCACCTCCCATTCCCCCAATAGCAGCTACTGGGTCAACACCATTTGTAATTCCCTTGATGATATCCTTAACCAACTCCTTCATTGTAGCAGAAGGGCTTGAACAACCTAGGATTTCAATAACTTTACTCCGATCATGTTGCTGATATTCTTTTCCTTTAGGAGAGAGGCAAGGTGTGGAGCAGCTTCTATGCATGTGATTTCTGGTGAGAAGCAATGGTGAGTCATTTCGAACATAGCTGAGATCATTGTTCAAAACCTGATCACCAAATGTCAGTGAGCTCTCCTCTGTGGGTACATTAAGGGCTAACTGCAGCTTCTTTTTTACCGTGTGTGCATTTTCTCCTGGCTCTAGTTCAATGCCTAGGACAGAACCACTATCAGTTTGAACAGACACGCGCTTGCAGTTAAGGGGTCTCCCCCCCTTAGTTATTCTCTTTGAGGGGTAATCACTACCCAAGTTGTGATCCAGAACCGCAACAGCCATTTGTGTCTTAAAAGCAGTATTAGTGTTGTGAGGTATAGACTGCTACGAAGAAATTATGGGTGCTAGCAAACACTAGTTGATGAGCTGGCAACAATAGAGAGGGCAAACCAAATTTTCCAACTTATGACAATCAGACAAATTACCAATTACTGATTGATTGGCATGTCGATGTACACATTATGATGTTGTGACATCTAATACTAAGTGCTACTCATTATAGAACTAGATGGCATAGATCCTCGAAACAATAAATAACAAATTAGATGTCCACAAAATGAGTAAGAAAAGGTACGATCAAATAATTTAGGAGAAAGCTAACAAGATACCCATACGCTCAAACATAGCGAATAACAATGAAATGAAAGTAAATGTAAACCATGGCAGAATTTTAGGGATGGTGACATCCATTTACTATTTTTACAGCTCTACCAGTTAAACGAAAGGATTAGGTAAATTGGGATATCATTTTTCATACAAAATGGTTTAGCTATAGGATTTCAAATTCAGTGCTTCTTTGTTTCCTTACTTCAAACATGATGGTATTATCAAGTATGCTATGATCCCAAAAGCCGAGAAGAAATTAAATAGGCACACACCCCAATGTATTTGCTTAAGCAGAATTGCAACACAAATAATCATAAGTATAAAAAACTAGTACTAGGTATTCTTTGAAGTCATACAATCCAGAACTTGACACGTGATTGAATGGGTCTAAATTCATTTGCTCCACTTGCATGCTAGCAGTAATTGGTTAATGAGCTATATAACATCTGTGTTGTTTCTCCCAAGTTGTTGATTGATAACAACAGGCATAAGAATCATTTACAAAAAGAACTATAGGCATAACAAGAAAAAATATAGTTTCTCCCAACTTCTAGAAGTATATAAAAAGAACTGAGTCTATCAATTTGTTTGAAGTGGTACACTCCAGATCTCAAATTATGCCATACGATTGAATGGGTCTAGATTAATTTGTTCCACCTACATGCAAGCAATAATCGGCTAATGGACTCTAGCATCTCCATAGCTTTTCCTAAGTTCATTGGGAACTATAAGCATAACAATAAAATATATAGCATTTTCCTCAACAAACCCTACTCATTTCATCATAGGCACCCTGAAAATTCCTAGAAAAAAAACAAGAAAAAAGATCTTGATCCGTGCTACTGACAAACATAATAATCTCCTTCATGTCCAGCCAATTTTTTTTGAGGTTTTGTGGTGTATGTAGCTACATATTATCCTTATATAAGAAGCACATCCCAACAAGAGTAAAATAGAGAGGTGGTAGAAGCAGAGATTAAGGGCATGTTTGGTTTTCTTGACATATTTATCACCTCACCTCATCTTGTTAGCCTAGAGAGCCAATTGTCTTGCCTAAAAAAGTGAGAGGAAAACTTACTTGCACAAGAATCGAGATAACCAGCATAGCATCCAAACAACATGTGATGTTCTAACTTCTTTTCAGGCAAGGCTAGGCAAGTTGCAGCAAGACATCCAAACACCCCCTAAAGTCATGGTTGAATCTGCACTGTCTAGCCACAACACATCATTCTTTGCCACCAAATTGGAGCAACGGCAATAATGACATTGAGACCATGAGGGGATTAGAACTCTCCGTTTACACCGTGTTGCGCAGGGGTGGTGACGAGAGGGCAACCTATTCTATCAGGAAGGAGTCCCACTTCCATGGATAGGTGAGGCCTCAATGCTACCAAGCAGATGACCAAGACTAGCCAGGGATGGACTAAACTAATAGCTAGCCGTGGTTAACAGAGAGGCAGTGAGACCACCACGGTTAGCGTCCTCTCTCTCTCCCTGCGCGTGCGCGCACGTGCATGTGTGTGCGCGCGCGTGTGGCAATTATTGTTGGAGATGGACGATATTATTTTAGCCATGGCTGAGAATATACTTTGTGTGTTTTTGGACCTGCTGGAAGCAATATCTCTACTTTAGTAAAACCTCATCTCCGCATGCAATGCAAGCTTATCTAGAGATCCTCCTATTTTTAGAGCATGTCTCATACCATATTATGTTGTAGAGTTGTTCTTAGTAGTGGGTGCCAATTTGTGACAGAGTCAGTTACGAACGGGGCATGGTAGATAGCGCGCTAATCGCCAAAAGGCAAGGGAACATGACAAGCTGGCCAAGCTCGTAGAACCAAAAAAAGTTCTTGTCTTTGTGATAGACAAGGGTACGACGATGAACCACCCAAACAAATTGAACATAGACTAGAAGTTGGATGCAGACTATCATGGAACCGCCCAAACAAATTTTATGGGGTATTATTGTGTATATAACTATTTATTATCCATATATAAGAAACACATCCCAAAGGAGGTTAGAGGGAGAAAGGGGATATTAAAATCATAGCTAAATATGCATTGCCTAGCTCAAACATCCCTCTTTGCCCCCAATTATAGTAGCAACAACATTGACACCGACAGTAGGGGGATCGGAACTCACTGTTCTAGCCATGTCGTGTTGGGGTGGCGGCGACGAGGGGGCAGCCTATTCCAGCAGACAAGGAGTCCCACTCATATGAACATGCGAGTCCTCGCCGGCGCCGATGAGCAGCCAATCGAGACTGGCCAGTGTTGTCCCCAGTTACTAGCTCAAGTCGCCATCCACACTAGGGACGGGCCAAACTAATAGTTAAACATGGTTAAAAGAGAGGCAAGGCAACCACAACCGGCATCCTCTTATAGCCTACCGCCGGCCCTCACCAGCCCCTCTCTCTCTCTCTCTCATTCTCACGCGCTTGTTCGCAGGGGCTCTTGCAGTTGGCGATGGACGACATCCTTTTAGCTATGGCTGAGAATAGGCTCTGTGCATTTTTGGATCTGTCTTAGCTCAAAGCAAGATCTTTTCTTTAGTAAAACCTGATCTCTACATGCAACCGATCTTATCTAAAGATCCTCCTATTTTTAAAGTACTCCTTGGACTCTATTAGAAATGTTCTTAGTAGTGGTTGTTGATTAATGACTCCATCTGTGAGAACGGAGTATGGAAGATAGCACACCGATTGTCGAAACGCGGGAGAACATGATGAGTCTGCCGAGTGCGTAGAACCAAAGAATTTTCTTGGCATAGAAACAAAAAATTATTTTCTTGTCTTTTCGATGGACGAGGGTTGACAATGAATTGTCCAAACAAAGTAAAGGTAGACTAGAAGTTGGATGTAACTATCATGGAACCGGCTAAACAAATTTCTTGTCTTTTGAAGTGATACTCAGGTTCCTCATGTGTAAATCAACCATGGGTGAGTACTCGCAAGCCTAAGGGAATGGGTATGAAACATACGGAGTTGGCAATGAAGTCTATTGATTTTCATTTGCAAAATAGTTTAAAACTAGGTTTTCTTCATTTGTAGAACAGTTCAAGGCTGATTTTGTTTGACTGAATTGGCACGAGATTATGTCGATTTCTTGATAGAGAAGAGAGATTTTCATCTTCGCTATCTGGATTTTCTTAGAAAAATGAAACATATAATGGTCTCTTGCGCTATAAGGGTCGCCAAACATTTTGCCCATAACATGATTCAGGCGGTGTCTTCTCCTTGATTTTTGCAAAGACTTGTTGGCTCCTGTTATCCACAGTTTTATGAACCCCTCAACTCACAAAATACAGCCGTGTGATCCATGCTCGCTATCCGTTCGAGTACCCCGACGATTTATCTCCACCCATTTTTTTAAATTTTAAAAAACTAATTTATTTAAATATATTCGAGAAAGATAAAAATAAAGCTCTCTATTTATTTCATTCATTTAGCATAATCCTTTGTTTACTAAGTAAATCTTATGGAGCTTCTAGAACACAGAGTTTGATGTGTATATGATGATGGGAAAAACTATTTCTCTCTCGTAAAAGGAGGAAAAAACATCTGTCAGCCACACCAGCAGTGCAGTCCTCTCGATCCGATTCAGCAGGTAGCAGAGCCACGTGGCAGCCGTCGAGAGCGTGGTGCCTCATCCCCTCTCCGTTTTCCACCCACCACTCATCCACAACTTTTTTTTTGTTTTTTAGCATCAATCAATGGATAGAAACTCATCCACAACATCCCAAATTTGTCTGTTCTGCTTCGCTCGCGGGCGCTCCTCTCCGCTCCTCCGATGGCGCCGCCGCCCACCAGCTCCTCATTCCTCCGCCCGCCACCGCTGCCACACCACCCGCACCCTCGCCTCCATTTCCGCCCTCCCTCCGCCTCCTTCCGCGTCTCCGAAATACTTGGCGGTCGGGGCCTCTGCAACGGCGAGGTCGGCGTCCGCAAAGAACTCGCCTCCGGCTCCTCCGCCTCCCCCACCTCCTCGCCCGCGCCCTCTCCTTCTCCTTCGACAGAGACTCCTCCGCCCCCGGTTGATCTGGACGCGTTCGAGAAGGAGATGATGGGGCTCACAGGCGGCTTCCCCGGCGGCGAGGTCGCCCTCAAGGACTTCGTCGCCAAGAACCCGCCGCCTCCTCGTTCCAAGAAATCAGATTCCCAGCTTGTTGCCCCCCAAGCCACGCTTTCCGCGCCGCCGCGGACGCCGGAGCTGCCGCTGTTCCTGCCGGGCATGGTGGTGCTGGTCAAGAACCCCAACAATGCCTACCACATGTACTGCGGGATCGTGCAGCGCGTCACCGACGGCAAGGTCGCGGTGCTCTTCGAGGGAGGAATCTGGGACAGGCTCATCACCTTCAATCTCGACGAGCTCGAGGGCAGGGAGAAGGGGCCGCCCATGGTGAACCCCAAGTCTGTGGTGCTAGAGGATCTTGTGGCGCAGCTTGAGGAGGACGATGATGATAAGGAGGACGAAGCGGCCAAGAAGAAGAAGGAACCTGAGGGCGCCGCGGCTGCGGCATGACCACGCTTCTTCTTCCTGTTATATCATCCTGTGTGTGTATGTATGTATGTATACAGCTAAAATAAAATAAAATAAAATGTTTGGGGCTAATTAAAGGGAACGATAATATAGCTCTTATAAGTATATATATAGTTGAAATGTTAGTGTGAATTGGGGACATGGAACAATTGCCATATGCTTGACCACATTGGCCTGGATGACTTCTCCTTGGATTCTTTACCTTGTAATAATCACAATGCTACAAGACTGTTTCAATTTATAGTGAGGAGCTGTGGCATATATATGGATGAAGGCTTGGTAGTTGGTATGCAAAGATGGACAAATATACTTGGATGAGGAATTTAGTTCTGTGGGATCGGTATGTTTTGGTCATATTATGCAGGTAAGTTTTTGTAGCTCTAGTGGTTATCTAGACATTCTGTAGTTTCGTGTCTGTGAGTACAATAAGTAACACTCTTCTCTAACATACATACAAGCTTTTTTTCTTGTGACTGACATACATACAAGCTTTGTACTGTGTGTTTTTGTTCATGTTCTTGGCACGCACAATTATGTTGAATGGTTGAGATTGAAACCCCGCTGTTCTGCATTTTACTGCAGTTTCCCTAACTCTAGTTTCTTGAGCACAATAGGTCCAGGCTTGTTTATATATGTGTGGTCAGGGCCATGAAGCCGGTAGCCACATAGGGTACCGATGTTTTCTTGTGTAGTTTTATTGTAAGATGGTTAATGTCATAATTAAGCAGGCCTTTCTAAAAAAAAACTTTCTCAAAAAATAATTAAGCAGGCCATAGGCTCCTGTGCATTGCTGGATTGCTGCCGCTCTTAATATGCCTTTGGGGGCTTTCTCATCATCTATTGTTTTCTCACTGCCACTCAAGTAATGGTGCTTCTCAGGTATAGTCGTATAGAGTTTGAATGCTTGTGCTATTAATGCCATGTCCAATGTTTTGCTTCTCTGCTTATTAATCCCATGGCCACAGTATTGAAGACAGAATAATACCTGTCATTAGTCAGAAAAAAAGAGAAGGCACATGCCATACTTTGAGGCTTATTTGTCCACTGGTGTTCAAGATAATTTGTGAATGGTTGCTACTATCAAAGTTTCAAAAGAGAATTTTATAAGGAAACTACAGTAGGAGTGCAATGTGTGATTTAAAAGGTTGCAATGTGCTGTAGATGTAAAATGTTTGTAGTGTATCAAAGCTCAAATGTTAATCTTCAGTCGACGGTCCTTTGTTGACATCAAACAGGATACTATAGGGCTCATATTCAACTTGAGCACAGGGCCTCCAATGAGGCCAGTACCGCCCTGTAGGTTGCGCCTCACTTGACCATAGCAGCCTATTTGGATGAATTGAGCTAAAACCCATTTATGAACTGATGAGTCTGGTAGGGCTCTTTGGGTAGTGCTGCGCCACTTAATCCTAGCAAATAAACCCCTTTTATGAAGTTCTATCTGCACTTGATTGCTAACTATGAAACAACTTCAAATTGCTTTGCTACAGTTGTTTCATTTCGGAACAATATTCATAACTTGTTCTCCATCATTTGCATATTTGTTTGCTAAGTTGTCTCGTTATTCTTGTGTTGTATCCATAGCAGTGAGGCTAATGTTCTGAGGAAATTCCAACCTTGGAGTGCCTGGTATCTAACTGGATAATATGTTGCTTTGCACACGTTCTGCTGTTTTAGTGTTCAGGTAATGCTATATTACACCTAACCATTATCTTCCTTTATTACTAATTTATATATATCATTCTATTTTGACAGAAATTTTTCCATCAGATGGAAAATGCAATACTTCAACCAAGTCCAGAGCATTTCCAAGTATCAAGAGCAACCAACTGCCATGCCAGACTGTTTCACCCCAAATTTTGCTGATCATCTCCATCGTAGTTTCAGTGGTCCTCAATTGCCGGCAATTCATTGGGCTGCAACACATACAGCTGCTGGCACAAGCAATGGTGTCGTAAAGAAACAAGAACCATGGCCTTTCACGTAGGTACAAGGTTCTCCTGGGACAGGGAAAACTCATACTGTGTGGGGGATGCTAAATGTTATCCATCTTGTTCAGTATCAACATTACTATGCTGCTTTGCTCAAGAAGCTTGCTCCTGAAAGTTACAAGCAAGTTAGTGGTAGCACTAGTACCAGCTCGGAGACTGTTGTGGCAGGGTCAATTGATGAACTATTGCAGAGCATGGATCAGAATCTATTTCGCACTCTTCCCGAGCTTTGCCCTAAGCCTCGGATGCTTGTATGTGCCCCATCAAGTGCTGCAACAGATGAGCTCCTTGCTCGTGTTCTTGACCGTGGTTTTATAGATGGTGAAATGAAGGTATACCGCCCTGATGTTGCCCATGTTGGAGTTAATTCACAGTCTCGTGCTGCACAAGCTGTTTCAGTTGAAAGGAGGACAGATCAGCTTTTAGTGGGCTGTGATGAAGTAATTGGGTAGCTACATCAGCTGAAAGGCCGTGAGCAGCAGCTATCACAGGAGATTTCCTATCTTCAAACGGAACTCAATATGGTTGCAGCGGCTGGTAGATAGATCCCAGGGTTCAGTAGGGATTGATCCTGATGTTCTTGCTCAAAGGGATCGTAACCATGATATTCTGCTTCAGAAACTTGCTGCATTAGTTGAAAGCAGGGATAAAGTATTGGTGGAGATGTCACAGCTGCTGATATTAGAAAGCAGGTTCTGTCCTGGCATCAACTTCAATTTGGAAGATGCTAGGGCTAGTCTGGAAGCCAGTTTTACCAATGAAGCTGAAATTGTTTTTACAACAGGAATGCTAAAACACACTTACAACCGTGTCAAGTAGCGGGCGTAAGTTATTTTCTCGCCTGACTCATGGCTTTGATATGGTTGTTAGTTTGTTACTGATGAGGCTGCTCAGGAGTCCTCCCTCCATTGGCTCTTTGTGCAGCTAGATGTGTCCTGGTTGGTGATCCACAGCAGCTCCCTGCTACTGTTATTAGCAAAGCAGCTGGAACTTTGCTTTACAGTAGGAGTCTTTTCTAGAGGTTTCAGCAGGCTGGTTGTCCTACCATTTTGTTCTCAATGCAATACAGGATGCATCCCCAGATCCGTGAATTTCCATCAAAATACTTCTATCAAGGTCGCCTTACAGATAGTGAGAGTGTTGTTAAATTACCTGATGTAGCCTATTACAGAGATGCACTTATGGCACCTTATATCTTTTATGACATGTCACATGGCCGTGAGTCTCATAGGGGTGGGGGTGGGTCATCTTCATATCAGAATATTCATGAAGCGCAGTTTGCATTGCGTTTGTATGAGGCTATGGCCTATGAGCACCTTCAGAAGTTCCTGAAAGCTAATGGTGCCAAGAAGGTTTCTGTTGGTATAATCACACCACATAAGTTGCAGTTGAAATGCCTTCAGCAGGAATTTAAGGATGTTATGAATACTGAGGAAGGGGAGGATACCTACATAAATACAGTTGATGATGCTTTTAAGGCCAGGAGCGTGACGTCATTATTATGTCATGTATCCGTGCTTCAAACCATGGTGTGGGTTTTGTTGCTGATATACGCCGTATGAATGTAGCTCTAACTTGGCCCTAAGTGTGTTCTACTATTGTTCTTCAATGATCCTTTTGATGTATCCCATGTTACTTATAGTCTATATTGCTTTTCAGGTTGTTGGTAATGCTAATACCCTCATGCAGTCAGGACTGGGCAGCACTAATAGCGGATGCAAAGGCCAGGAAATGTTTTATGGACCTGGATAGCATTCTCAAGGACTTCTTACCCATGAAAGTTCCATCTAATACTCCAGGTAGGAATTCTTCCAACGACATCCGGAACATCAGGACTGGTGGTGGACCTTAGACCAAGACACTTGGACATGTTCTCAGAACCGAGGGCTGGTACATGAACATGAGGCCTGATGAAGATGAGCGTCTGAATTCTGTTCCAAGATGAGCGTCTGATGAAGCTGCTTAGTTCACCGGTACAGCTAGCGTCTGGACGTCCGGACGGACGCCCACGTCCGGATGCCCACGCCAGATGTGTCGCGTGCTCCGCCCGCTCTGATTTGCAGCTCCATTTCCCACGGAACGCGCCAAATTACAACATGAGGAGGCGGTTGGAAAGAAAACCACCTCCGTGTGCACCGCACTGCGGCTGCATGCGCGCGCTTTTTACTCCACCGTCCGTTCCCAGCCCCAGTCTGGTATGTACGTGCCGACTGCGCTGCTAAGGAACAAGGCCACGCGGGGACCACCCGTGCCGCTTGACTACATGTGGGACCACCCGCGCGTGCTCCGTTTCTCGCGCGCACATAGGAATCCATGCACCCCTCCGAATGTAGCTTTGAAACATGAAACACTCAACTTGAAACAAATGCAATATACGTCTAAAACAACTGAAACATACACTTGCAACATGTGTGAAACATATGCAACATCTAAATAAAACACTTGCAACATACATCTTATATAAGTATTGCAACATCTAGATGTATTTTTGCAACATCCATGTAAACAACATGCAACATTCATCTTAAACAGTTGAAGCACCTGAAACATACACTTGCAACATGGGGTTGCAACACAATGTCACCTTGCTGATTGGGCGGGTGGATACTTGTCGTTGCAGAGCTCGACGTCGGTGCGACAGCGCCGCAGGCAACTCACCAATGGGGTGGCGTCACACGAAGCTCCTCTCGTCTGCTTGTTGGAGCATCCATCGTGGAGGCTCACCGACTTAGTGGCGCATGCGTGAAACTCGACGGCACACCGGTGGCTGGTAGCATGCGGAAAGCTCGTCAACACGGCCGCCACAACCTTTGCCCCATTGTTCCGCATCGAAGTCATCGACGACGGGGCCTGGCATGTATTGCCCGCACGGCCGCTGCCGCGCTCCCACTTGCCCTGCGGCCAGCGTTGCTGGTCGTCTGCGCCACCGTCCGCCTCGATTCGGGGGAGAGGGAGGTAGTGAGGTGACGACATATCGAAGGGAGAGGGAGGAGTTGGTGCTGGGCTCCTAGGAGCAAGCTGTGTCGTCGGGCTCAAAACAAATGGATAAGAACGATTCGGTTGGGCTCAGAACAAATGGATAAAAAAGATTCAGTGGGAAGCGACGTCCTTCCATCCGGATGCTCGGGCTATATCGTTATCGTACACAAATACAAGTGCAGACAGAACATGTAAATTCAGTTGGTGGGTCATACCTATATATGAAAGACTAGATTTGTTACAAAAAACAACGGCAACTTCTTTTGAAAAGAATAAAACAATCAATGGCAAGTACTAGCCTTTACATGTAGTGTTCCTGCAGATCCGAAAATAGAAATTAAACTACATTGAACAATGACACAGCAGCTGCTACATATATCATCATGTCGTGCAAATAGATGAAGAAACACATTATTATTTCAACATATTTATATTAATTATCACATCAGAAGGTTTGAAAATACAAATTGAACTGCATTGAACATGATACAGCTGTTGCCACTTACTACTCCCTCCGTTTGAAATTTTGACTTTTTTAAAACACATAGCTTTTGCTACGCAACCAAATTTAAAACAGAGGGAGTATCATGTGTTCGCAAACGATGGACACACAAGTTGTTTGAACACAGATATATACTTTATTACATATATCACAATCAGCTAAACATATACACGGATACATATGTTACAGACTTACAGTTAGACAGTTAGTACACCACTGGAAAGTTCAGATTAGCAAGCCGCCGATTCAGATAGACCAGAAAAAACTTCCTTTCTGAATCAGGGCGTCTAGAAAAGACACAAACAAAACAAAGGCTACCAACATTGTACACATGCACATATATTATAGATGCATATATGTATATCAGACCTTAGCTAGCCAGTGGACTGTTGCGACGCTAGCTCTAGAACTAGAACCCAAGCTTCAAATCCAACGTGGCGTCCAAGACCTCGCCTTGATCGCGCTTCCGTTTCTTTGGCAATGGCGGCATCCCTGGCGGCGGCAGGTTGAGGTCCAGCGTGGTGGCCGGCGCCGCTTGTGACGACGACGTGGGCGACGCGCTGCAGCCGCTAGATGTTGCAACCGCCATCGTCACCTCCGCGCATGTCGTCTTCTCCCAGTGGCACCGCTTGTGCCCGCCGAGAGCCTGCCCGGTGGCGAACCCTCGAGCGCAGACGCTACACTTGTGGTCGTCGCACCTTGGTGGCGGCGGCGAAGAAGCCGACGTGCTGGCGCCGCAGCTCGCCTTGGCGGTAGGCGAGGCGCCGAGGATACTCTTCTTGCCCTTGCCAGGCTCACCTTGCCGCAGCATGAGCAGGCTCGTGGCGGTCTCGCGCTCCTGCTCGGTGAAACGCAGGTCCGCGGCCGCAGCCGCCGCCACGACGGCCTGGTGGCGGAAGTGCGGCGGCTTCTTGATCCCGCGCCACTGGCGCTCTGGGTGGCGCCGCATGTGGCCGAACAGCGCCTTCCACGACGGGAACTGCTTGCCGCACTCGCTGCACGGCGACGGCGGCGTGTCCTCCGTGAGCGACGACGACCGCACCCTGGCGACGCCGCCGTCCGGCGGCCGCGGCACCGGCCTCGGGGAGATCGCGCAGACGAACGGGGAGGTGGAAGCGCCAGCGACAGCGTGAGCGTCGTGTCGTGGTGGGGCGGCGGTGGAGGCGGCGACAGTGGCTGCGGAGGACGAGCAGGAGGAGCCGCGGCAAGCCGGATCGGAGTGGCCATGGCGATCCTGATCGGGGAGGTTGGGCGAGGAGGGAAGTGGAAGTTGCACTTGCGAAGGAGGCTGGGGGGCCGATATGTACGGACGCGCTCGTGCCGCGGCGGTTGCCGGCGGTTGCTGCTTGCTGCTGCATCCTGAGACTTGAGAGGCTGTGCCTTCGGGGTCGGGCTTCCGTTGCTTCGCCTTTCTTTCGGATCCATTTGGGCGGATCCAAGGGAGTAGGTCTTGAGCCGCCCAGCCCAACAGCCCTCCACGTACTCCCGCCCAGCCCGCCAGGGTCAACCGGCCAGGTGCGAGGTGGCCCCTCCTAGTACAGACTGCAGTGATACTTCTGCCGCTTCATTCTATTTTCGATTTTTAGTATTTAGTGATCCACAAATTCAGTCGTATTGTATTGTAGGGCATTAGAATGGAAAAATATTTTGTTAAGAAAGATACACTTTGAGTCGATATCATGATTTATGTTCTTTGTTATATTTATTGGTATATGGCTAGTATGGTTCAAGCCTTCTATTTTTTAGCCCCCATTTTGGTCGGTTTCTGGATCCCGCCACTGGTAGCCAAGATGCACAAAATTTGATGTAGAGTAGGAGTAATTACTAAACAAACGCCTGTCCTAGTCCTAGGTCAATATTTTGACATGCATGTGATGTTCTGTCTCTTGTGAGCTGCGATGAATGCGCATTCACTCTCCGTTTCAAATTGCAAATAGTCATATGCAGATCCCCCCCTTGCGATTTTTTTAAATTTTAACCATTTTTTAATATAATTTTAAATCTAACACTGTTATTTTTTTAACTAACACTTTTGATCGCGCCTATTGCCCTGGCGCGGCCAAATGCCTGTGTCGCGCCATGCATGGTGGCGCGGCGCAGGGCTGACGTGGCGTGGGGTAGCCGGGGGGGGCGCTGACGTGGTAGGTCTTGCCGCTCCACCGACCATGGCGCGGCAGTGCCGCGCCCTGATCTGTGGCGCGACAGACCGAGAGATATATCACAGCAGCCCCCCGCCAGCGCCACGCGCTTGCTACAGCCTCCCCACGACGCCGCCGCCCGCCGCGCGCCATCGCCCGCCGTGACCCACGCCATTCACGCCACAAGCTCGCCTCCCTCGCCTCGCCCGCCACCCAAGCCGGTCACCTCGCCCGCCCTCTTCATCACACGCCAAGCCACTCCCCTCCCTTGCAATACTTCCTAGCCCGGCCAGCGCCACAACGCCAGCGTCAAGGCCGCCCGCTCCTAAGGTACCTCCCTCTCGATTTCATATTTTTTTATTATGTAGTATAGTTAGTATTTTTTGTATTTACTATTAGTGTCTTTGACCAAATTTATATAATAGCGTACTACTATTTATGATACATAATATGTACTATTACATTGATACTGTTTTTTTAGTTTTGATCAAACTTAAACATATTTGACTACTCGAGAAGCAAGATGTGTATTTATTTTGAGACGGAGAGATTACTTGTAATTTTAAAACCAAAGTTTTATATGTATTGATTATGTATTTATTATCTAGTATAGTTAGGATTTTGGGTTTAGAGATTTAGGCTAGTTAGGTTAGTGAATTTGTTTGTGAACTTACTAATGTTAACTTGAATTTTGTTAATTTGAATACTCTAACGCTTTGTTTATCAATTTGTAACAGGATGGCCCCTCCCACGCAGCACCCGTTGTACCCTATTCTGGATGTGGAGTACGACGACCAGCACCGAGCACACATCTTGAGTGATAACAACACAGAGGTGTCCTTGCCTCCTTTGAGGCCCCGCACTCACACCAGGGCGTATCAGTGGGACGAGCGTTATACGCCGTACATATGGCGTGCTGGCTTCCTCGAGCTTGTCCGTGTTGTCAACCACGGTTTTCCGTCCCTTGATCCAACACTACTTACTGCAGTTGTAGACAGGTGCGAATGCATTCTTTGTACGTAAACTTTTTTGTAACAAATTGGAGGCAACTAACAGTCGTTCGATTCTTATAACAGGTGGAGGCCTGAGACCCACACGTTCCACCTACCTTATGGCGAGATGACCTTGACGTTGCAGGACGTCAAGGCTATTTTAGGCCTTCGGTTGGGGGACTTCCAGTGACAGGGATAGTTGACAACGATCACTGGAGGGAGCTGGTGGCTCAGTTTACTGGTTTTCTTCCACCGGACGACGATGCTAAAATAAGTGAGTAATTCAAGCCTATTTAATACTTGCATTGCTTTACAGCTGGCATCGGGTCTTATTTTCTTTGATCAATTACAGGAAAAGTTCCGGTGTTTTGTCGTCCTGGACCACAGAGCGCTTTGAGTACTTGGACCCACAAGCTAAGGAGGCACAGATCGACAGGTTCGCTCGAGTGTGGATCTGGCACTTTCTTGGTGCTTTCCTCTTCCTAGACGCCTCGGGCAACACCATCAGCTGGATGTTCCTTGACATACTTACGCCACCGTGGAGAGATATATAGCGAGTACAATTTGAGGCGGCCTTGATCTTAGCATGGACGTATCGACAGCTATGCGTTGCCTGCCATCGCACCTTAGGACATGCGAACCTTGAGGGTTGCTCCTACCTACTCCAGGTTTGGTGTTGGGAATGATTGCCCATTGGGAGGCCCCTTAATAATGGTTTACCGATAAGTACTTCGGTTCATTATATTCTTCCAGGCAGTTAGATATGATGAGATTATTTGTTGCTAATTCATTATCGTGTTCAATGCAGCAATGGAACGGGCATGATACACTCCCTACAGCTCTGTATATCTGGATGGAAGCATAGTTAGTTAGAGGGAATGCGTGGCGCAAGTACAGGGAGTATACGAACGGTCTCGACGTCCTGACACAGCACCAGGTTACGCTCTCTATACTGTCGTAGCAGTGTCTTCTTCGATGTACACTATATCACAACCTAACACAATTACGAAATTTTAGGTGTTTTGGTGTCCTTGGGATTCTCCGGAGCTCCAGGACTATCTGAGTCCTGTCACTAGGGACGAGTCACATGAGTATCGCTGCGACGTCCCTCTTATTTTCTTCCATGTGGTCGAGATTCACTTGCCCATCCGGGCCTGCAGACAGTTTGGAAGAATGACTCACTGCCCACCGCCGCTTTACTCCACCAATCAAGTATTGCACGGTGCGTTATCGATTAATAACAATGCTACAATTCAGAGGTGTGTTTGGTACAACTAATATCGTTTTGTTGGAGGTTTGACCGCAGGAAGAGGTACAAGACTAAGGATTGGCGCGTGACACACAGCTCGTACATCCATTTCTACCACATGCGGTCCTTGCGGGTCCTCCACACGACCAGCACACCTTCGATGAGTACCTACGATGGCTTCATAGGTCTACGAGAACACATATTTAGCCCCCATTTTGGTCGGTTTATGGATCCCGCCACTGGTAGCCAAGATGCACAAAATTTGATGTAGAGTAGGAGTAATTACTAAAACAAACGCCTGCCCTAGTCCGTCAATATTTTGACATGCATGTGATGTTTTGTCTCTTGTGAGCTGCGATGAATGCCCATTCACTCTCCGTTTCAAATTGCAAATAGTCATATGCAGATCCCCCCCCCTTTTGCTATGTAGTGCCTAGCTAGCTAGACAGAGAAAAACAAACGGCTTAAGATTTAGAATAAAGGGAGTACAACAATCCTCAATATATTGATGAAAACAGAGCAAGCATATTTGGAATATACGTGTCCACAATGATTTGTGAATCTATTTGGACAGCTTCTGAAAAATCATGCGAGCTTATTTTTATTGATCCAATAGTTTTTCTAAAGCTCACTTGAATAGGGAGCCTGCTGAAGTTGCTCTTATGCTTATGCTTAGAGAATTTACCCCTTTTCGAAATATAAAATATCCATTTAATTCATTGGGCCAAGAGAAACACCCATTACCAGTACTAAGTTTTTTTTTTAGACTAAGTACCATGATTGATTCATTGGCTGCAAGTTTACAAGAGCCCAGCCCATGCATGCAGCATGCATTTCCCGGCCCATCTAGGCTTCTTTTTAGCGCTTGCCCCGTTTCCCCCACATTGAAGTGTCGCATGGCTTAGCGGCAGCGGTAGACCTCGGAGTCCTTGAACCGGCACGGTGCCGAAGGCGAACGGACGTCACGTACCTGGCATAATGCTGGTTGTGGTTGTAGGTGTAGTACGTGGCGTCCATGGATCAATCTATCTCTGCAGCTGCAGGTGTAGCAGCTTCGTTCGTTCGTGGCTCCGTGCTGAGCCCGTCCCTTAGTTTTCTTTTTCTTTTTTTAATAATGAAAGAAGATCGAGTTATGGCTTCGTAAGTACTTCTTCATTGAAGAAAAACCAGCTCACAAACGAGACAAAAAAAAAGTTCTAAATTATTGACCAATACGAGAAACATAATTAAGGTCATCCATACGATGCAAAGAATTGAATACGTGGCTCTTCTCTCTAGAAGTCAACATGCTTGTATGATTTGCTCTTGGTAGCTGTCCAAGCGGCCAAAAACTATATCCAATGTGATTTTATTATTTGATATCTCATAAAATTAACTGACACCCAAATACTTCACCTGCCATCCCTAGGTCCCACAAATCCGTCGTATACATTGGATCTCCGATTTCCGTCGTGTACGATACAGTGCTGAGAGACCCCACCACATGTACACAGGCAGCGACTATAGGAGCCGACAGGTGGAGGTCGTCACGGCAGGTGAGCAACTCAGGTTGAAGTGAATGAATGAATCGTCGTTAAATCTCCGTGACGTCAAACCATGCATGCACGTGAAATTAAAGGGAGCGATTCATTGTTCATCACAACTCTAGCTAGTTTGTTTTGTTGAGCTACAAGTCTGCAGCTACAAGGAGGCTTTATTATTATTATTCATTATTATTTGGAGATTGGAGGCCCTTCCGTTCAAGCAAATTGCATTCCTCACTGTCGACATCAATCGGGCAGTGCTCTCACGTGAGTCTCTGGGCCCGAACCGTCAGGTCGCCCGCGCCGGGTTGGCAAGAAGGCCCCCCGGGCCACGGGGCCACCTGCCGTGACGGGCAGACGAGCTGCAGCGTGCTAAGCTAGCTGATGGACTCCCGGCGGGAACTGTGTTTATTTATTAATTAATTTACCTCTCGTGATGTCGTTTCTTCTTTTGTTTTCGCCAAGCCAAACACAGCTATAGCTGGCATGTCTGGCTTTAGTTTGGACGTCATGCATATGAACATATACAGATACTCTAGCTAGTGCTCTCTCCCTTCCGCTTTAGAGCTAGCAAAGAAGAACATGAACCAGGGTAGGCAGGCTAGGTACGTTGGTGAACAGAAGAGGGGGGCTCATGTGACTCCATGATTGCCATTAGCATGCATGGCTACTAATAATAATCAACTTCGTTATATTATCCATCCTGACCTTATGTCCATCTCTCAATGCAAAGGCAAGGGATGAGAGGCTAGGAAACAAGACATCTCATCCATCGTGTCTCCGTTATTATATATAATAAGAAGTGTATGTAGTAGTGCCTGATGATGGTCGACAAATAAAAGTCGAGACGCGATGTAAAGGAAAAGCCCTTGCATGCATGCATGCATTCTAAAACAACATCGTTATGATTAGCATCGTCTTTAATACATGATTGATTCGGGAAAGAAAATTAGGGATCGAGAACATGGGGGGATAATGGAGGAGGGGGTGTGCTCTGGATGGATCCAAAGCGGCGGCCGGGGCCAGGGACCGGGACTAGCTGGGAGCCTCCTCCCTCTCCCTCAGCTGCTCTGCATCTGCATCTGCGTCTGATGCATGCAATGCAATACAAGGACGAATACTCCTGTAGTATGTACATTATAGAAACAAACATGCAGACAGAAAAAGAAAGGGTTAATTCGCGCAACATGGGCGGTGATGCAAACGAAATTAAATTAAAGCTATATATGGACTGATCGGACGACGTACGTACAGTACAGGCTGTTGTGTTGGGGGCGCTCATCATCATCAGCTCGATCACCCTTGCATTGCATGCGGATGTGGATCCTTTGTGATTTGTGAAGCTAGTACTGGTAGTATTACTGGATGAGATTTACTTCCCCCGAGCGC